ATATGAGGGCCAGTGACACTGCCCTCTACAGCTAAGATGCTGAACAACAGCTCAACCTGGAGCTGGGCTGCCTGTGAGTTGCAGGCGATGGCGTAGGCTGCAGCCCCTGCTGCAGTGGGCTGCCATGGGCTACCGTGTGTAGCCAGCAGCAGCCGTGAGCAGCCGTCCAGAAGCCAGCAACTGATCTGCCTTGCCCTGGAAGAGCGCAATGATGGTGCCAACTTGGGCCAGTGAAGCAACATCCTCCATAACTAGACTGAAGAACAAAAAACGACAGCAACTTGTCTGTTCTCCTTCCCCCAGTTCCCCAGTGCTGTTCTAATTCCCAAATTAAAAAAAAAAAATTCATAGGGAATTGCAAGAGACCCTAAATAGCCAAAACAATCCTGAAAAAGAACAGAGTTTGAGGACTAACACTTCCTGATTACAAAATGTACTACAAAGCTACAATAATCAAAGCAGGGTAACACTGGCATAAGGACAGACATACAGATCAGTAGAATAGAACTGAGAGTCCAGAAAAAAGGCCCTTATATTTAGGGTCAATTGATTTTTGACAAGATGGTTTTTTGCCAAAAAGAATAATCTTTTCAACAAGTAGTGCTGGGATAAATAGATGTCCACTTGCAAAAGAATGAAGTTGGACCTCTACTTCACACCCTATACAAAAATTAACTTAAAATGGATTAAAGACCTCAATGTAAGAGCTAAAACTATTAAACTCTTAGAGGAAAACATAGGAGTAAATCTTCATGACCTTGGGTTAGGCAATGATTTCTTAGAAACAACAGCAAAAGCATAAGCAACAAAAGAAATATAGATTGGACTCCATCAAAATTTAAACCTTTTGTGTTTCAAAGGATATCACCAAAAAGTGAAAAGATAACAGGAGAAAATGTTTGCAAATCACATATCTGTTAAGAGACTTGTATCAAAAAAATATAAAAACCCCTTAACATGCAACAGTTAAAAGATATATAACCCAATTGAAAATGGGCAGAGGATTTAAATAGACATTTATCTAAAGAAGATACACAAATGGCCTATAAGCACATGGGAAGATGCTCAGCATCACTAGTCTTTAGGGAAATGCCAGAGGGAATCACAATGAGATATCTCTTCACACCCACTGAGATGACTAAAATAAGAAAGACAGGCAGTAACAAGTGTTGGCAAGGATGTGAATTAGAGCCCTCATAAATTGTTGGTGAGAATATAAAAGGGTGCAGCTACTTTGGAAAACAGTTTGGCAATTCCTCAAAATATGAAACATAGAATTCCCATGTGACCTAGCAATTCCACTCACAGGTATATGCCCAATATAAATGGAAACATAGGTTCACACAAAAACTTGTACACAAATGTTCACATGTTCATTGTAGCATTACTCACAAGAGCCAAAAAGTGGAAACAACCCAAACGTCCATCAACTGATGAGTAGCTAAACATGTGGTCCATCCACACGAATATTATTCGGCCATAAAAAGGAATGAAGCACTGATAGATGCTACAACATGAATTTCGAAAACATGATGCTAAGTGAAAGAAGCCAGTCACAAAAGACTATATACTGTATGATCCAATTTATATGAAATGTCCAGAATAGACATTTATCAATAGAGACACAAAGTTGATCAGTGGTTGCCAGAGGCTGGGGAAAGGAGGAAATGAAGAGTGGACTACAGGACTTCTTTTTGGATTGATGGAAAAGTTTTAAAATTGATTGTGGTTATGGTTTCACGGTGAATGGTACATTTTAAAAGGGTGACTTTAATGTTATGTGAATGATATCAATCCCTCTCAGAATATTATTCAGAAACACAGCCCAGCACCTGGCACCTCTAACCTGTATCTAAGGACCAATTCTAATTGTTAAATTCATTTCTTTCAACAAGCATATCTTCTACTGTATTATGGCTTCAAGAAGGTTAGTATTTTTCTGAAGTTACTCTTGGGTTTCTAATCTCTTTTTGACTGAAGTCAATGCATCCTGATAAGGTGGTAGCATTTTCAGCCTGTTCTGAACTACCTTGTAGTACGCATACGCTGTTTATCATGGTCTGCCTCATCTAGTAGCTAATCACGCTCTTTCTCTTTCCACCCAGGACTAGAGAGGTTTTATTCCTCTCTGCAGAAAGGGGTCTCAGGAAAGTGCATTGCATATGGTAGGTGTTGCACAGCTGTTTATACCATCTACTCTCTTCTTCACATAGATAAAATTCAACTTGTGTCAATTTTCAGTTTTATCAAACCGATGTCTATTAGTTATCAACAATCTCGTGACACAAAAACATATGACTTTAAACTTGAATGTGGTACTTTGGGCCAATCATAAGACAAACAATTCCTTGGGAGAGCAATCTGTTTTTACAGGTCAAATGAATAAGAGTAGAGTGTTTTAAAAATTTAGTATACTAAAATTAGGTTGGTTTGTTAATATTACTGTTTGATATTGTTATTCCAGCAGTTTCTAATTTTAAACAGTATCTCATTCCACTTATTTTTTTTCCTATTCTGGAAGTTACCTATTTTTAATCTTAGATATTTCCAAAATGGGTGTTTCAAAACAATTTTAAAACATGATGTCATTCAGACTTGTTAGTGATTATGTGATACATGAGAATTCTCAAAGAACTGGAGACTTACAATACTTGGCTTGAAGCATACATGTTAATAAATTAAAAAAAAATAGCCACAATATTTTGTAGCTTATCCCTTAAAGAGGTGGAATCTCTTTCCCCACCCCCTGAATCTGAGCTCTCCTTCCCGACTTCCAGGATATCAGTGGATAAAAAGATCCCTGGTCTTGTGGAACTGAAATTCTGGTGGGGAAGGCAGACAATAAACGATAAGCAAAGTCATTACATAATATGTTAGAGGGTAGAAAATGCTATGGAAGAGTTGATCAAGAGAGAGAGAGAGAGAGAGAGAGAGAGAGAGAGAGAGAGAGTGTGGTTTTAAATCAGGCAATCAAAGTCAAGGTTGTCTCATTGAGAAGGTGAAACTTACACACAGACTTGAAAGGAGGTGAAGGCAATTGGATTTCAAGGGAAAAGCGGTCCAAAACAGAGGAACCAGCCAGAGCAAATGCCCTGAGGCAGACCCGAGGAACCCCTCCTCTGCTCTAACCAGAGGAGCATCAGAGGAACCTCGAAGGCCAGGTTCTGAACTGAGTCCACAGACCACCTTTTGAATAGAATTCAGAGAAACTTTTCTTTCAATTATGAATGTGGGCCACACATTCTGTTCCTACCACGTCTGCTCTGCCTGTCCCGATCTGTGATTCTCTAAATCGTGGAACCATATTAGCTTTCAGCCACCCTACTATGGTAAGGCCTCAGTATTCCTCCATATTTTAGTATATAAAATCTTTAAACTGGGCCAACACAACAAGCAGAATTGTACTTGGTTGGGGGGTCAAAGACCAGGACAGGCGTGGAAGGCCTGTGACAGGAACAGAAGGAAGCTTGTTAGAAGCCCGTGAGAAATTTGCTCTGGGTCTAATCCCACAACCTGTCCTAATCCAGCTTCATGTGTCACTCTCATTTATGACTAATGAACTAGCCGCCACAGCTGGAAACATTGAGAACTCACTCTGGCATGATGTCACCCTAACAGGGAAGCAATCTCAGCTTGCAACCCCTTGCACTTTCAGTAATTCCTCGTGTTACAAAAATTCTAAATGTAGCCAGATCGTTGGTAGTTAATTTTGTTTAAAAAAATGTGCTTCTGAGATGTAGAATTTGTGACATATAGAATTTCCCATTCCCACAGATATAAGGATTAGGATCATAGCTTTTTTTTTTTTTTGCATCATCTGTTTCTTCTTTTGGTTAGGTTATAAAATAGTTTTGGCATTCTGCTCCAGTCAGTCATTATTGCTAGATTTTCTTTTTTTAAAATCCATGTGTGAAAAAATAATCGGAGCTGGCCGAATTAAGAGCTCGTTCGAGTGTGAGCTCTGAGCAATAGCGGTTCGAGTCCTGGCCCGAGCTGAGCTGCCACTGAGCTGCCAACAGGTGGCAGGATGGCTCAGCTATTAAAAAAAACAATTGAATAAAAGGAAAGACAATAGTCTTTCCAGTTTATTTAGCAAGAAAAACCTAAAAATATAGTGATAAGTTTGGGCTAAGTGAACCAAACCTGGACAGTAATTGGTAAAATCGTCTACATGAAAATAATCTTAGAGAGTTATAAGGAGACAGTCTTAATAATCACATAATTTAAATCAGAAGTAACTTTTCAATACCAGTTTCAATCAATAACCACATTATTGGTGATATCAGATGATGAATTTGCAAAACAAAAAGTCTTTTGGAAATAGGACATCACACCAAAATTACCAATTCATCAAGGAAAAGATTCAAAGATTTGACTCTTATCAATTTGACACTTCTGTACTACAAAAGGTATCATAAACAAGTTAAAATACATATGACAAATTAAAAACAATTTTGCAGTGTACTTAACAAAAGATAATGTATTTTTAATAACAAGTTCCTATATGTCATTAAGTAAACCAAAAGAACAATGAGCAAAGGATATAAATACAATTCATAGAAGAAATAAAAGTTGCCAATAAATATGAAGTATTCAATCTGGTAATCTAGGAATGCATCCTATACACATATTTCCAAATAGTCAACAATTTACCTTTTGAAATGTTCACTGCAGCATTAACAAAATATTGTCAACAATATTAAATAAAATATTGTATGCTACTGTGCAGCCATTAAGAATAATCTATTTCAAATACTGACAAGGAAAGTATAGCATAATCCCACTTTTGTTAAAACACACTCTTATGTATATAAATCATTAAAAGGAATTCTTAATTACATGTTGCTCAGGACAAAAGTCTACCAAACTGTGAACAATGAACAGTGGGAACTGAAAGTTGTAATGCTTTTAGCTAAAGGACTTTTACTTCATACTATTTTATTATTTGCATTGATAAAACAAATATGTATTACATTTATACTCAGCAACAAAATCAAGAATTTTCATTTTAGGAAAGAAAAAAACAAAAACATTTTGGGTTTAGAAAATGGCCTGGTGAGAAAATAAATTTCAAGAACGCATGAAGAAAAATGGTGTGGGCTTCTCTATGGATTATTTATTCTCCTTCAAATGCATGGCTTTGTTATTCCTTCTGCTTACAATTTAAACAGTAGATATTTTAAACAAAGAAAAATCAAGTATCTTACTCTTTAGATGATTAGGAAAAGATATAATTTAATTGCAAATGACCATGGACTAAAAGTGGGATCTAATGTATAGATATTTAACATCAGCTAATAAAAGGGTATGGGATGTGAATTTTACAGAGAGGCTGTTTTCTAAATTATAACATCCACAAATTCAAAATCCAAGTGTGGATGACAAAGACATGCTCTGCAGCACTCTAAGGAAAGAGTGCTTTCAGTTTCATCTAATTTTATATACTGACTCCCTCCCACCCCCAATGCAGTTATTTCTTTCAGAGAACAAAAAAATACTGTTTTGTTTTGTTTTTTTTTAAAGACAGCTATCACTTTCCCTCCCTCCCCGCCCACTTCAATATTCCAATAGAAACATTCTAGCTAGATTGCTGGTGATTTAGAAAGCATGCTTGTTCAGAGATTTCTAATTTATTAAGAATATAGTAATGGCTCTGTAATCAAGAACTATTTATAAACACTTTTTAACAAACACAACTGAACCCTAAACATTTAAAAGTGAATTTATACCATTCAATCAAACATATTTTAAGTTGAAGGAAGAAGAATTTTCCTAAATGCTGAAGAAAAACACAGGTTGTGTGGCCATGGGTTCTTGGGAACTGAGTCATGCCTTATAAGCCACTATTGTTACGACACCCTTGTTGGTTTTGCCTGCTGACAATTTACAAAGTAGGAGACAGAAGGACAAAACAATTCCAGCAGAGAACCTGGAGGAATAGAACCAACTGGGAGGAAGCCTCTTGTTGGTAGTAAGCAGACCACATTTTTTACCCCTTAAGGAACATGCAACCTTTTGAAAAAAGAGATCGGTCCTTTTGGTAAGGACAGTGCCGTCTTTCCACTTACCTGCTCCAGGAGATGACAAAGAGCTGGCTTTGTTTTAGCAACCTGTATATTACAATCACATTCCTTTTAACCCAAGGCAAAGATTAGAAACCGGTCCCCACCCTTGCTCCAAGTCCATCCTGAAGTACCAGTGTTTGGCTATGACCTCACCTGCCCACACCTGGAGACCTGTCCCAGCATGGACAAGTCCAAACAATATCTTGTTCCTCCACCCAGCACTCTCGTCATAATACTCAAATACAGCGAACAGAATAAATTTTTTAAATGGGACACCTTCTTAAAGCAACTGCTTCCCATTTTTCTGGGTTCCCTTCAAAGGTCTACCCTGTCCAATTGATTCTGAATTCTGCTTCAGGATTTCTTCTTAAAACACCCCCTGGATGTTTTCAGCGAGGTGCACTGAAGGATCTTGAGCAGGATCCTTCTCCTTCATAAAATTCAAACCCCATAGCAATGCAATCAAGTATTCTCAGCACCAGTGAAGAAACAACCCTTTTAAGTCTTTTTTTCCTACCACCCTGCATTTCTTGAACATTTCTGCTTATTCTACTTACGCCATTTCCTGTATATTTCAATGCTCATTGTGTCTATAGAAATCCTCCTACCTACCCTTTAAGGATTAACTCAAAACTTCTCTCTTTCCAGAAGTCTTCAAATACCCTCCAAATGGAACACTTAAGCCCGTGGCCCTGTGAATTTGAAGCCAGTCCTCCCTGGGTGCTTCTCCCATCACCAAATCACCCGGGTATCTTGCCCTCCCTAGCAGCCACGCATTAAGCCTTGGAACTAAGACGGAACCATCCCTTGTCCCGCTAGTGTATAAGCTCCTTAAAGCACATTCTATCATCATCTCCTTTTAATGCCCCAAAGCACATAGAACAACTTAACACAAGTTGTGCCCTCCATTTGTAATTGAATAAATCAAGAAATAGGAGCCAGATTTTTTAAAGAAACCAGTGATTTTATAGAGCTGTTGACAGGGAAGCATACAGTGGCTATGAGCATGGATGTGGGGGTCTGACAGATCTGGATTTCGATTCGCTAGGTTACTTACCAGCTGTGTGTCTTCGGCATGCCCTCTAACACATGAAGTTAACAAAACCTAGCTAATATGGTGCTTGTGAAAATGGGGTAATGCACAAAAATACCGTAACATGATGTGTGTGGCATCTGCTAAGGAGAGAACTGTTAGATATCTTTGGGATTCAAAGAAGACTCTACTAATGCAATGCCTAAAGGGAAAGTTATACGCAAAAAAACACTTCTATGATTTAGGGAATAGGCAGGTCTTTAGTTGAAGATTGGCCCCTCATGATCACTGCTTGAATGCTGAGAAGGCCCTTTAACCTCTCTATCCCAACGAAGTTGCCTTATGTTACATACATAACATGGCGACAATGTATTTATTCGATATAAATATCGAGTAAGAGAATGTATGTAAAAGCACTATGTAATATGCAAAGGCTTACTTTTATTATATGTTTCAACTCAGAGAAAAAAGCCAAAAGTATTTAACATTTTATTCAATTTCAACCATGTTTTGCGAGGGCCTTGAAAATAAATTTTTCCTTTTCATATAATTTTCCTTTCCTTTACTGTTTATAAAACAGTAAATTTGGTTACTCAAGTTCTCGACATGAAAATCAAATCTGGAATGGTAATATTTTGCTCCCTCTGCTGGCCTAAGAGCAGGATAATATAATAACTACCTGAGACTAACAGTTCAAGATCATCTGTTTATTTTCATGGACTTGACTATAAAGATGTAATAGCATTCCACATGAAGACAAGATCCATAGTTTCAACTCTAGCTTATGGATCTGACAATTAAAAGCAAGTTGTTTATGTCTACTTTCTATTTTTAACTGTTAATTATCTTAGGGTTCAAATCTGGAAAGTTATTTTTGTGTAAAGCCTACCTGCCCTCCATTTTTTTTTCAAAATAATTACTTTATAAGATTCTTCTGTTTCCGTATTTAAGGCTGAAATCCACTGAAAACACCCAAATTTGCAATTTTTTGTGTTTCCTTTGTTATCACTAATTTTGCAATTTACTTCCAAACTTACAGGGGTTTATATACTAATTTAACTGTGAGTCACTTTTTCGTATTCAGAGTCTTAGATTATGTATATGAAAACTAATTTATTAAACCTTTGTAGACAAAGATGAACATACCTGTATCGCAAGCTTAGATGAAGAATGCAGTTACAAAAAAGTAAAAGTGTTATTAAAATTGATGTATGTAAATCACTTACAAAAATACCCCAAATGGGATAAAGCTGCTCATCCCTGATTTTTCTCATTTGGTTGTCAGAGTTGATATGTGAATTTAAAATGGTTAGAATTTTTTTCTTTTAAAAAGTGATATATTAAACTTATATACAGGATAATTAGCAAAATATAGAAAGGGAAAACAATGTACAAAAGAGAGATAAAAACCATCACTCTGGACTGACACTCACAATCCAAAAATAGTATAAACCTTAACAAACTATCCCTAACCCAGCTCATACTTAATTACCCCCGAGTTTTTATCAGAGAGAATAAAATATAATAAATCAATCAGCAAGCCCAATCTTTTCATTCTTTAAAACAGGCCCGACTTTAGCCCATAAATCAGCCTCGGATAGATTTTTAAACATGGGAGGACAATGAGGAAGATAATCTCATCTGTCCACTTAGTACTAGTTACCAGGGCACAAAGTTGTCATTAAATAGCTCTCGGTGCTCTGTCAAGCAGCTATTCGGAAGCCTTTTTGTTTTTTTGCTGATTCCGGGGTGAGTTCTTTAACAAGTTCCTTATCCTGAGGTACATGCCTGTAGATTCCGCCATGTTCTCAAATTCAAATGGCGTTATTCCTGTTGCGAACTTGCTCATGTCAGGTATAGGGCTATGCATTTTGGTGAGCGTGGAAGGACTGGTGTCCACATGCAGGGGCCTCTGGCTGCCTCCGTTTCTAACGTCACAGTTTGATTCAATGCCGCCATTATCCAGAAGAGCATCTCTAGAGGCTACCTGAGTGGACTCCTCTTCCTTCTGACACTGCAATGTGGCCTCAGATTCTGGACTCAGGGGATGCTCAGCTTCCGGTTTCTTTGTACAAGTGTCTGGTTCCTCGGGCTCATCTGGCGGCTGCTTTTCGGATGCTTTGTCCTCTGGGACAGGGAGGTCTAGCTCATTTGGACTAGGTGAGGAGGCCACGGAATTCCCAGTTAGAGGTGTGTCAACAGGAATATCCGAATCGCTGTTGATGCTCTCAGCCTGCTCGAGGGCCGCCCATATCCGCCTCTGCTGTTCTTCAAGTTCTTCCAGAGTCAGTGCGTCCTCGTCCATAGCTGCCGATGCTGTTCTGGTCTGCGGTGAGTCACTGGAAGTTGGTGACGGGGTGCCCTTGGGGAGGGGAGGAGTGAAGATGGGCGAAGGGATTCCCCGGGGTTGTGTGGGAGGAGTGCCAGGGGGCAACGGTGGCTGAAACTGAAAAGCTTCCCTGCTCGGAGAGCCACGCAGGACCTCTGCATCTGAAATAAGCAAGTTACAAGATTTTAAGTTGTCATAGCACTTGGCTTTACTAACATTTATTACTTGAACTCAGGTGTATTCAGATTCAATGGCCAAAAGAACTGGCTCAAGGGGCAAAACTCTGTGGATATTTGTACAGGACCATTGGCTCATGTGCCCAAGCCACCTGAGAAGAACGCCTGCAGGGAGAGAGAGCTGCAGGGCCTTCTGGGGCCAGGAGCTTTAACCGAAGCCTGTGGGAAATCGTTTTCATGTCGTTTATATCGTTATAGGGCCAGACATGGAGATACAGACAGTCATCTCTAGCACGCAGTAGGACACTTGGCTGGGAATGCACCGGCCAGACTGCCGAGGGTGTGGAAGGCTGGAGGAGACACGGCAGGACCACACTCTGGCCTATCCCCTGCTCTGTCTCTGGTCTAGACTGCTCGCCTGAACTGTGGGTTCAGGCAGCTCACTGGTCACTGCTCATCACCGCCTGTATGTCCCACAGACACAACAGATCTAACCTGTCCAAAACAAAAGATCTTTTCCTAAAACCTGGACTCTTCTATTTGCCATTCTCATTAATGGCACCACATGTGGTTTCTGGTTAAAGCCTCCACAACTGAAACCTGCTCACCATCTGAGCGTCCTCACTTTCCTTCTGCCCACCCCCGCCCCAGGTGCTGTCTCTCTAGGGTCCGCCCTCTCCTGGAGACTGCCATAGCCACTTCGTTGTTTCAGGCCCATTACTGTTTGCAGGAATACTGACGTCATCTCTGTCTCTGGACTCATCTCCTCATAGCCATCCTGCATACCATTAATCTTTCTAAAACACAGGTCTGGTCCTACCAACCTTCCCCATCGCATTAGAAACCTCTAATGCCTTCCATCACCTATAAGATAAAGGCCGATCTCCTCTAAGCCTTACAAGGCCCCCCATGACCAAGAATTTGCCTTTCCATCACGTCATTTCTTACTGCCTGGTTTCAACTCCAGCTGTCCCTGTTGCTGGCCCAATGTTTCATGGATCTGCATTTGCACCTCCCACTGTCTCAAACACCCTAATGCTGCTCACCTCCCTGGTAAATCCCTGAATTCACCGCTCAGGATGCAACTCAAAGTCACCCTTGGTAAGGCCTGACTTTTCCAGCACAACTGCTTAGCTTCTCCTCTGTGCCACCATTAGTCCGTGATCAGTTCTGTGGCAGCAGCATGTAATCCTAAGGCTCTCTGTGTCACTCGGGGCCAGCACACTTATGTTAAAATGATGTCCCTACATCTGCGATCCCTAGTGAGAGCAGCCACAAAGGGCAGCAGTTATATTAGTCATATTAGTCTTCGTCCCAGTGTCTGGTAGAGGGCTCTGAAACATGGTACATGTTTTAAAACTCTGGAAAATTCAACTGAATAATATGGAATCTTGAAAGCTTCGCCAAACTAGTCTGACCTTTATTGTACAGGTAATACGATTTGTCAGGAGAATAAGACTGTTACTTAGATTTTAAGAAATTCCAGAAGAGCAAAGAATGGATAAAAGAACTGAAAGAAAGGATGCAAAAAAGAAAATCAGTTATAAGGACACTAAGAGCGATTGGGTAAAAGAGAAAAGCCTGAACTAAAAGGCAATTACTGGGATATTGTTAGGATTTTGGCAACTGGCTACAAATAGACGGCCAAGATTAAGGGTGGATGGAGCTGCAGACAATTGGAATTTCTCGGTCTAGGACAAAGACACTGGGATCGAGAGCCTCACTTTAATCACGTGGGCTCAGGTTGGCTCTGGACTGATTAATTATATATGAAAAAGAAAGAAAAAAACTGCCCCTGGGAGGCAGCTTTCTCAGATCTCACCAATACCCTAACAAGAAAAAGAAGAAAAAGCTCCCAGCACAGGCCTGAAAATGCCTGCCCCTCGTGTGTGGACCTAGCAAGAGGTGCCACCACCACAAATTCCTAAACTTCGAAAGATGGCAATTGTGTCTCAAATGGTTCAAAACACCAAGCACAGATGGCTTGCCCCACAGGTACTCTAAGTGCCTAAGACCAAGATTCACTTCTTATGGGGAGATTTCCCCCAGCTGAACTGAATGAAGTCCACAGGCGGTGGAGCCAGACAGCTGGCACCAACTAATATCCGTGAGACAGAGACCGAGATTTTTGCCTTTACTCAGAAATCCTGGCTCTGGGCTCCGATAACACTGAGAAGTGCTAGGCTCTGGCACGTCATTTCATCTGGGACAAGTGCTTTTGGGTTTGGGGGAATTGCTTGTTTTCAAAACTTCCTAAGTATGTGGCAGAGGCTGCAATCATTCTGTGTTCTATGGACTCTTTGGCCTTGATACAAGTCAGAGTGGACACTGAAGTGAAGCTGTAGGTGCTGAAGGCCCAGGCTGTGAACTCCACTCAGGCATCAAGACCTCCTAAGAACTCCTAGGGTTGAGACTAAGCAGGGTAGAAAATTTGAGAAAATGGTTTGAAGGCTTCGATTTTGAACTTTGAAGCTACTCATTAACAAGAATTTGATTTTGGACTTGAAGAGATTTCATCTCTGACCTTTAAAGTCTCCGTTGGAATTTGAAAATGGGAAGCGGGGTTCACATTCAAATTGGAGGCAATTTATATTGCTGGCATCTTATTATTAGAGTATCTGTATGCATTTTATCTTAATGCTGCCCTTTAATCTTACTTCAGAACGTCTGACATGCTATATAGGACCTAAGTAACTGGGCATAATTTGGGAAATAGCACAAGGAGTGAATTTTCAGTTTTAGATTCAGAGTGGCCTTGGAATTTATCCAATTAACACAAAGTTCTGATCCATTCTGGGGGCAAAATCTAAACAACTCAAAGGAGCAGTGGTTGGTACTGGGGGCAGGGGGGCCTCAAAAGGTGGGCATATGGCTGTCCTGGTACACTACTGCTCTGCTGAGAGAGACTGCTGTCACAATCCTGACTGACCACAGGACCTGTGGTTCAGCCCAGAGGGTTCAGAGAACAAAAAGCCGAGGAAGCATCGGAAGCAAGGCCTTTGGTTCCATTTTGAGTTTCCAGGAGGACAGATTTTCCTTGGTCTCACTTTCCTGAGGAGGAGTGGTTTACTGAAATACTACAGTTGGGAAGAAAACGGGGAAAGCTGGGCTTGGCCCTGCCTTCTTCCTCTTGGGACGGAGCTCCCACAGGGGAGCACGTTCCACTGCTTGTCTGAGAGTGCTGCCCCACCTGCCCCAGGACTGCTGGCATGGGGTGGGTCTGCCTAACTCAGGAATCCAGCTCGCTGGCCCATCTGGCCCTTAGACCCAGCTATGTTTCCCAACTCAGCTTTTATCTGTAACACTGGTGATGCTTTGATCTCTAAGGATAAAAGATTTACTACTTAGTTCACGCTCAGAAAAAACTTCCTCTTTCTTATAGAACTCAGGAGCATACAGATTTGTCCTACCTTCTCAATGAAATCAAAACCACGAGACGAAACCTACCAGAGTCGAGCTCCATGTCGGCGGGCGATGCTGCCGAGTCGCTTTCCTTCTTCTGCTTCTTTGGGCTACTAGGGCTGGACTGAGACAAAGACCTCTTGCTGCCAGACTTTGTACTTGACTAATGGAGGAACCAAACCAAAGTTAGATGGGGTAAACAAAGAATTAAACCCCACTCCTTCATTTAAACATGATGTCGAAACCAATCTGGAGCTAAGTCTAGGTAACTGGTGAATGTCACTACCTTTTCCTTTTTGATCATCAGAAAACAGAGTGCTTTTACACAGAGCAGGAGAAGGCAGTAAGATGTTAATGAGTTATGCCATCCCACAGATATACGCAGTATGTTTTTATAAGCGACACCCCAGAAGTCTCCTTACCGCTTGGAAGTTAGAGGAAAGGTAGTTGGCAAACACATCCTTCTGCTGACAGGCCTGCATGGGTATGGAGCCAAACATCCTCCATTCCTAATGACGGAAAGAGGACGGACAAATAAGCGTGCTTTGCGATTTTGCTCAAAGGAGGTAAAGTTGAGGTCTCAAATTACATTTCTGCTTCCTATGTGACTTTTCCTTTTGGGAGGAATTAATGGAAATAATGGTACATTGAAAGAAAAACAAAAACAACCACCAACTTTTCTTACAGAATGGTCAGAACTGAATACTAAAAGACTACTTGACAAAACCACTTGGCCCCAAAACGTTCTGTCTACTGTAAGTGGGCGTTATGGGCTCTTAGCTGGCCCCAGCCTCGTTCCCATCATGCACTCTCACTGCTCACGTGACTGTTTACCTCTCATTTCTCCTAACACACTGACTCATGCCGAGTTTTCTATCTTCTGTTTTCTCCCTTTCCAAATCAAGTACACATCTTTAAAGTTCACTCGTTTCTCTCTTATTGTCAATAGTACATTCAACAGTGATTCTCAGTAAGAGTCACTTTGGGCTCTTGTTAAACCTATAGATTCCAGGGACTGAGTCAGTTAAGTCTAAGGGAGGGACTCAACAATGTGCATTTCTTTTTTTTAAAGATTTTTTTTTTTAATTGGGGAATTGGGGGATGGGAACAGTGCTGGGGAATTGGGGGAAGGGGAACAGACAAGTTGCTGTCCTTTTGTTCTTCAGTCTAGTTGTGGAGGACGTTGCTTCACTGGCCCAAGTTGGCACCATCATTGTGCTCTTCCCAGGTGAGGCAGATCAGTCGCCAGCTTCTGGACAGCCGCTCACAGCGGCTTAAGGGCCACTCACGCTGGCTGCTGGCTACACACGGTAGCCCATGGCAACCCACTGCCACAGGGGCTGCAGCCTACGCCATCGCCGGCGACTCACGGCAGTCCAGCTCCAGGTTGAGCTGTTATTCAGCATCTTAGCTGTAGAGGGCAGTGTCACTGGCCCTCATATGTGGGATCCGAACCAGGGCCCTCTGGCGTCCCAAGCCAGTTCTTAACCATCGCGCCACTCAGCCGGCCCAACAATGTGCATTTCTGTTTGTTTGTTTGTTTTTTAGCTGAGCCATCCTGCTACCTATTGGCAGCTTAGCGGCTGCTCAGCTTGGGCTGGCCTCGAACCGCTGTTGCTCAGAGCTCAAACTCTTGAGCGAGCTCTTAACCAACTGAGCCATTCGGCCGGCCCCCAACAATGTGCATTTCTAATGAGCAACCCAAGAGGATTCTGAAGAGGCAGAGGCACTGACGGTTTGAACCATGCAATTTAGTCCTAATTTAGCCCATGCATTTTTAAAATTAAAATACCACCACCACCATCATCACCTCAATAGTTAATTGTTGAATTTTAAAACCTAAGAGTTGGAAAGGAATAAGTGTAGAAAACCATTCTCATACAGAATGAGAAATTTTATTTTGAGGGGGAAAAAGGGGAAGAAAGAATAGGAAAAAGAACAGTATACTTAGATTTATTACAGGCAGAAATTCACTTCCCAAGTAATTCTGTAAAACTTATAATACTGTCTTAGAATCATCCCATATTTAAAAAAAAATATTTTTAATTTTAGAATGGTTTTAGATTTATAGAATCTAACCACTCTGTTTTAGCTCCTTTTCTTAGGACATAGAATCAGAAAAAACTGGTGTTTTTTTTCTGCTGAATACAAGATTTCACTTAAGATTCTAGTCAATATAAAGGAAATTAGAAAGTTAAACACGTACCGTATTTGCCGGCGTATAAGACGACTGGGCGTATAAGACGACCCCCTAACATTTCCACTCAAAATACAGAGTTTGTTATATACTCGCCGTATAAGACTACCCCCTCTTCCGACCGTACACCCAGTATGGTATCGCGATTCGCGATTTTGCGCTATCATACTGGGTGTATGGTCGGCTGTGTGCGATTTTGCGAGTGTGGTAAAATCGCATAACAGCAAAATCGCATAACAGCCGAGCATACACCCAGCAGCGCTGCTGATGCCTGAACGGTATGTGGAATGAAGTGGGCGGGCATTGGGAGGCCACTATGGCACGGGGCAAGCACTATGGGCAGTCTATCTGAAGTGTACCTGGCGTATAAGACGACCCCCCACTTGGAGGCATATTTTTCAGGGCCAAAAAATCGTCTTATATGCCGGCAAACACGGTAAATAACACATTTACATCTTTATGTAGTAGTAATTGCTACATAAGCTAACATTTAACAATCTTCATAATAATGTTACATCTCAGACGAATAAAAACACAATATACTTACATCTGGGATTCCTCTGGGAGTAGATATATTAAAACCTGGATAGTTTACCAATTTCGAGAGATCATAAGTGACACTTTGATTCTGTTGTATTTCTCCAGCTTCTGTTTCCCCAGGAGCTCCATCTATTACAGACATCAAAAGAGTTAATATTGTTAGCTGTCCATATAAATCCCTCTCCTGACCAAAAGTAGACCTGGGAAGTGTTTATACACATGGCAAGAGAATCAGTCTGAGAATAGCTTTATTTATAGTATGTCTGAACCATTAGGTTAGAATTTTTAAACATTGTGAACATATTACTCTGATAAAATATTTAAAATCTTGGAAACTTTGGTTCTTCTGTGGGTTGCTTAAAAGTCTGTTTTGAACTGATCATAGGATTTGCCTAATGCTCTATTCCAATGCTTTTTAATTAAGCATTTACATAACGTGTACTATGTATCAGATAGTGCTCTATGCAGATAGTGTCTTAAATAGTTTACAAGTAGCAAAATTCACTTCAACTTCGTAACAACGCTAAGAGGTACATACTATTAAAACCACTTTACAAATGAGAGTAATCTTTGAGGGATACTTGGAAGTTCTTTACTATTTTGAAAACTACTAAATAAATCATGTATTTATTTTTCCAGTCCTATAATGTCTATATACCTGAGGTAATCAAACAGTTTATGAGCAGTTTCTCTTTATGTAAGTATTCTGGCTAATAAGCCAGGAACTAATGAAAGAATGAGAGTATAACCATTCTGCAACCCATCGTTAATTAATGGATATAGGCAGTGACCACCAGTGACTTATCCCATCATAATTTCACGGGAAATAAAGAGGGACAGAGGAACGTGCTAAAATAACAATGTGCGGATGCATCAGCAAAATCCTGAAAACTCTAAAGGACAAAATGCAGTTTTGTTAGGAACAAGAAAGAAAACCTCTAGATTAAAAGAGATTTAAAAAACCCTCTCAATCATCTACACTCTTTTTTCCAAAGAATCCCTATTCAAACAAATAAGCTGAAAAAAGAGAGACAGAGAGAGAGAGAGAGACAGAGAGAGAGAGAGAGAGAGATTGAATGTTAGCATGACTTGGAGATATATTAAAAAGATTGTGAGAAATACCTCTTTGGTACTATTTGAGAAGTGGGGGACTTGGTAAATTTTAAAAAAATACTTTAAGTTTTAATTGCTTCAGTAATATATAGAAACACTTTCATTTTTTAAAAAAAATTAGAGCATTCAAGATAAAACTAAAATCTTTAGCCAGACCCTCTTTCTCATCTTAGGGATAAGCACTGTTGAGTTTGCTGTATATCAGTTAAGACTGATTTTAATTTTATAGAAAAATATTTATTTCCTATCTATCACATGTCAGGCACTGTGCTACATGCTGGGAGATATACCGGTGAATAAAATAAATGTAGTTGGGGATGACTTGTTAGCTCAGTTTGTTAGGGCGTGGTGCTGATTAACACCAAGGTTGCCGGTTGGATCCCTGCATGGGCTACTGTGAGCTGTGCCCTCCTTAAAAAAAGAGTCAACTATGCCATTGTAGCATGAAAGCAATGTGTAACCAATGACCATGGCTGTTCCTCAATAAAAAATAGAAAAGAAAAAAAAAATAGATGTGGTTGTAGCAATTCCAAATCCTACAATCTTGTTGGGAAAATAGACAACAGTCAAGTAAAACAGAAATATATACATAAACCGTGATGGTATGAAGAGAACGAACAGGGCACGCAGGGCACAGTGACACAGATGGGAAGGAAAGGTGGGTTAATGAAGGAGCGATATACTGGGTTAAGGTAGTCAGCGAAGGCCTCTACATCTAACCCCTGCAACCTAGATAGTTCTTGGTCAGATCTTTTAAAAATATTTTACATAAATAAGTCCTCAGAGAAAACACAGAGCACTGTTTCATCCATTTGCATTTCTTTCCTTTTTTTAAAAAAATTTAAGATCAGTGGTATCATAATAATTAAGTTATCCAGAAACTTGCTTTATACTCAGCATTGCACAGACTCTGCTGTCAGCTCATTTACAGATTCACTCCGTTCTTTAAACATAGTAGGGATTCCACAGCCCAGACCTACCATGGTTTATTTACCCATTTTCCTTTAGGGCCTTAATATTTCATCACATTCAATGCAAAAATACACACACACACTGCCCTGTGCACATTTTTCTAGAGTAGATTCCTAAGAGAACAATTCTAGCTTATAAGAGGGTTTCTGTATTCTAAACTTTACAGGTCTCTTAGCACTGACAGATACATTTCTGTTACTGAGAAAGACAAGAACTTATATGAGCACTAGCTCGAGTTGATCCTTTAGCCTTTAGAGAGTCATTGAGCAGATAGGTTAGTCCAGAAAACCATCTGATAATTCTCAATGAAGTTTTTAGTTCCTTCCTTGTAAAACAAAGAAAACACCATGATGTTTTTGTTAGCACACACTAAAGAAGCCAGCCATTCCTATCACATTTTATGTGATCCGTTCGTTAAAAGAAAGATAACACTGACCATGACTTATCTAACCTAACATACTATACCTTTGCCGTCATAGAGCGCAAGCCCTGAATTCTCCAGTTCAGCCTCTTTGAGCCACCCTGGGGGGTACCCAAGCTGGCGCATTCGGTATATAAAAGGTGGAAGGCTCTTGTCCGTCACACCCAGTGCATCCTGAAGTTCCTCACTAAGTGAAAATAAAAGAGGAAGGAAAAATAGGGTATTCTTGTTTGGATTGAAAACACATACTGTTCTGATCTTTTAAAACAATTCTGGGTCTTACATTACACAGCCTGTAGCGTGGTGCCTATAAAATACATAGTTAAGAGTTCACTAACAACAAGACTACCTGTTCGATGGTGCGCTATGCCCACCCGCAACTAAGACTGAACTTGGCACCTTGAGCTGAGCTGCCGCCCGGATGGCTCAGTAGATAGAGCGTACGCCCTTAACAAGGCTGCTGGTTCGACTCCCACATGGGATGGTGGCTACGCCCACCTGCAACTAAGATTGTAACACAGCACCTTGCGCTTAGAGGCCACAGCTGCCGACGGACAGCCAGATGGTGACTGGAACCCTCCACAACGAAGACTGAAGAACAACTTGGCTGGTCCTCTTCCCCAATTCCCCAACACTGTTCTCCCCCAATTTCCCAATTTAAAAAAAAAAAAATAACATTAGGGGAAAAAAAAAAAAAGTTCAATGAATGTTTTCGAATCCATCGATATATATTATCTAGAGCCTGGTTAGAGAAAACTTATGTACTGATAATTACCCTGAAGAGACGTAGATACGTAGAAGGTTCCAAATACTGGGGAAAGAGAAATGACATTCCATGCTAAACTAACAAGAGGTACCTAATAACTCCTGGCTTGAATCTTCCAAATCTTTCTTCCACTTCTTCTGCATGGTATCGCTGCTGAAAATTCTGATTGTTTGTCTCGCCACAGGCATCCATGAACTCTTTTCTCTTTTCACTTATTCGAGCAGCATTCCGAGGCTAAATTGTAATGTATTTAAAAAGAATGATTGTAAGCACTTTAGAAATATTTCAGAAATTAGATTAATATAAGCACTTTGTTTAGGTCAAGCAAACAGATTCTTTCTGTTTTAATGTACAAGGAATAAGTATAAAAGAGGGTGGATGTTTTAGAAAACTAAGCAAGGAAGAGAAGCAGTCACTTTAATTTCTTATTACCTCAGTATTATCATAACATAAAATCGAACTTTTAGAATAAGCTGTCTAAAAATTAACTCCATAATGTTTCATTCATCTCAAATAGAGAACACTGTAATACATTTTTTAAAAAAATCTAATGCCTTAAAATTTAAGTCCAAATTCAAGGATTACAGGAAATTTACACAGGACATTTTTTCACATTACACAATGCCATAAAGAGGCTGAAAACATTAGAAAGTTCTGGCTCAAAGATATTTTTTATATGAGAAAAATTTACCATTGGGCAATCTTTCATTTGATGTTCTTCAGAACCACAATTGAAACAGTGAGGCTTTGGCCTATTTAGTCAAAAAACAAAGATTTTCATAATGTAAATGAAAATATAAAAGCAAATCAATAAAATTCTACATTTTAGAATATGAGTATCAAAGTGTATCAGAGAGAAGAAAGCGCGTAGATCACAGATTACTAACATCTGCAATGGGGACACTTTCACCTCCTTTACTCAGCGATTTAAACAAATAACTTGTAACCAAGAACCCTATGTTCCTGACTGATCTGTTACCTCTGAGTTTTGTCAGGGGTTAGCAACAGAAGAACCGTGGCAAACAGATCACATTTCCTTTCGGCAACATGGAAAGGGACAGATGGTTTTAAGACAACAATCAAACTGACAGCAACAATTAAACTTGCCACCCGCCCAGGCACATTAGGCACGAACCAATGAATTCCAATAAACAGACGATCAACTTAAACATTTAAGATATGTCTATATATTGAAATTATAGCTTAATCTGTAATTTATAGTAAGCCAGCAATAAAGAACATTAGCTTTTCAAGCTAAAACAGTTTATGATTTGGTTATCAAAAAAAATAAAAAAGGAAGAAGAAAACACAAACCACTCCCCACACAAACCTTTTGGCCTTTACTTGTACCTCTTGCCCTTCTAGAGACACAATGTGGCTGAAGACTTGCTGGTACCTTTAGTGAATTTTATTAAGGAACAGTTATCATAGTCTGCAAAATTTGGTAAATGTTTTTAAAGGTGAACTTAATGGCAAGATGCATAAAAGATCTTCATTCACTATGTAGGATACTTGGGTATTTCCCATCCTTCGGTAAGCTGAGGGTTTTCATTTAGTAGCGGTTGCCCCAATTTATCAAGGCAAAAATTAGTAAAATACAGGACACTTCCTACAACCTGCAGAAAACAAGTCAAGAAATATTGCTATTTAAGCAGGAAAAAAAAAGACATTAAATAACGTAAGACTATGATTAACTTAACAATTTATTTTTGGATGAAATTATCAGAAAGAATAATTAACTCCCTAGTTAAAGGAGCCAGGTTTTGATGCGTTAGGTAAAAGCTACATCTTTCAGTGCCCCTATGCCTCCTGTATCATTACTGTCAGCTGCATTCTCTCCAGACTTAAAAAATAAAAACTTGTCAGCAACTCTCACATTTCCCTCCAATTCCTCATTTCTTTGCTTCCTTTGCAGCAAGACATTCAGAAAAGTTGTTTATGTTTATTGTTTCCATTTCCTTTCCTCCAAGTCTTTTCTTTCCCTCCATATTTTTGGAAAAATTTCAGACAGAAAAGTTGAAGAAATGGTACAATGAACACCCAAGTACCAAGTACCCTCCATCTATTGTAGATTCAACAACTGTTAATTGACATTTTTGTATGCACAGCTGTCTACACACACACACACACACACACACACACACACACACACACGCATGCACACGCTTTTTAATGAGCCATTTAAACAAAGTAAGTCATCATCATAGTCTAAGCCATATTTCCTCTTGCCTGAGGTTAATACAATAACTTCCTAACTGGTTTCCAGTTTCTACATAAAACCAGCTACAGATGACTTTCATGATACTTCACCCCTAAATACTTCAGTATCAGCCTTCTCAGAATAAGGACATTCTCCTACAAACCACGATACCATTGTCACACCTAAGAAAATATAACTCCTTAATATCATAGCCAATCTATATCCGGTTGTCCCCAACTGTCCCCAAAAGGCCTTGTATAGTTTTTCCCAATCCACGGTCTGATTAAGGTTCACATGTTAAATCTTTTTAGTCTCTTTAATCTAGAACATCCCCCCTCGCTTTTTAATTAAAATGGCACTGCCATTCTCGTGAACATCTCCAGTAAGGCTTTTTTCTGTCCCTAACGTAGCACTAAGCTATTTGACAACGGAACTCCGCAGTGACCTCCATGCAGCCAAATTCAATGGACAGTTCCGAGTGTTCATCTTAACCTATCAGCAACAATTGACACAGCGGATTCCTCCTTCCTTCTAGAAACATCTTCTTCCCTTGGCTTCCGGGACACCACTCTCTTGGTTTTCTTCCTACCCTGCTGACCAATCCTTCTCAGTCTTCTTTGCTAGATCCTTCTCATCGCTCCATCTTCTGTAAGGCTCAGCCCTTAGTCCTCCTCTGTACTTTCACTCTCTGGGTGATTCCAGATCCAGGGTATGAAATATAATTTATATGTGGGCAACCCGCCCCTCTCCCCCCATGTCCAGTTCTGACCACCTCTAGGCGCCAATCTTGCGTATGCAAGTGCCAACTTGACAGCTTTCCCTGGACTTGCAGGAGCTTCTCAAACTCACCGATTTAAAACTGCACTGGATCCTTATCCCCCGAAAACCCGCTCCTGCCTCCAGTCTTTCCCATCACACAAAGGCAACGACAGGCTCCCAGCCGCTCAGGCCAAAAACCTGAGTCATTCTGACTCCTCTCTCCTTCTCACAGTCTGCGTGCAGTTCATCAACACATTTCATCAGTTCTACTTTCAAGTAAAGCCAGGTTCCAAGCACTTCTCGCCACCACCACTACCACCTTAGTCTAAGCCGTCATTTGCTCTCGCCTGCGATGAATACAAATAACTTCCTAACTGGCTTCCGGCTTCCATATGCAACCAGCTACAGCAGCGGTTCTCAACCTTCCTAATGCCGCGACCCCTTCATACAGTTCCTTATGTTGTGGTGACCCCCAACCATCAAATTATTTTCGTTGCTACTCTCTAACTGTAATTTTGCTACTGTTATGAATCGTAATGTAAATATCTTTTTGTTTTCCGATGGTCTTAGGNTTTTCCGATGGTCTTAGGCGACCCCTGTGAAAGGGTCGTTCGACCCCCAAAGGGGTCGCGACCCACAGGTTGAGAACCGCTGAGCTACAGACTCTTTTCCACAGAGAGCCAGTTCTTTTAAAAATCCAAGTCATACCATGTCACAGTTCTACTTAAACCCTCCAATGGCCTCTCATCTCCCTCTGAGTACAACCCAAAGACCTCACTAGGCCTAGAAGGCAACATAAGGATTCAGGTCATTCGCTCTGCAGTCAGAAGGCACGGATCCAAACCCTGGCTTTGCCACTGACTAGCTAAGGGACCACTGGCAAGTTGCTGAGCTTTCCATGTATTTCCTCTTCTGTAAACTGAGACTGGTAACAGGGTCTTCATAAGTAACATCTGTAATGAGCTTACAACAGCACTGGCTACATAGAGAGCAATATATGTTTGCTTCTGCCTCAGGGCTTCCCACTTACTGTTCCTACTGCCTAGAATGCTCTTCCCTCACACTGCAGGACGGCTCCCTCTCTCAGGACACAGGTCGTGGCTCAGAGAGGCTATCACTAAATGCTCACGATACAAACCAAATGCCCCTTGGGTACGCTCTAACTCCTAACCCTGCTTTCTTTTCCTACAGGGAACTGCCTTCCCTCACTAGAATCTAATTCAGTGACGGCAGGGGCTTTTTATGTTTTTCATTGCTATGTCCCTGGAACCTACAGCAATTAGTAAATATTTACTAGTACCTACTAAAGGACAAAATGAACAAATACGCAAAATTGCCAGTTTCCAAGCAGGTGCCACTTTCAATCCCAGAACCTCAGGTTGGAAGGGAAATGAGAAGTGACCTAGTTCCAATTCAGAAATCTTTCTTCCAAGTGCTTGACAGCACCTCAGTCTTCACTTGACTCCAGCAACATGAAATTCCCTTTTTTAGAAAAATGAGACATACCACTTCATTTTTCACATCTCTGATAGAAATTTCCACTTTCTACAAGGTGAGTTGAAACGTGCCTGTTTGTACTCAGTCCGATCAGTGGTCCTAGTCCTGCCACTTGGCACTACATAGGGGGATCTAAAATGATACCTTTGCAAACAACAGCCTTTTATCACATCAGCAGATGTGTGACATGCCTTCTAAATCTTTGCGATAAGATTTCTGAGTTCTTCATCCCAGCAGCCCTATGTCTTTAAAATTGTGGTACATCAACAGGGCACAATACTTCAGAAACATGAAAACTAGTCTCCCTTTAACAGAATCCAGAATTGCATCATCTTTAAAAAATTGTAAGTTGCAAAATTATACCACTCTATCTCACTGACACTACTGAATTTCGCAAAGGTTCGGAAAGGCTTAAGTGAAGGTTCATCCCCATTAAGCTTCTTCTATTTTTCACCCATTATTTGAGTCTGGCAACATTTTAAATTTCATATCTGCCATCTGTTATATTAGCTATTTATCTCTCTCAGCTTCAACTATCTATAAGTTCAACAAACATGCTTTCTGTACCTTCATCCAAGTTCTTGAAAATAAACACAAAGAGGTTTGTCAGGACAAAAATAAAGTCCTCCAGACAATGTCTATTGTGCCCCAGGTCACAATAAAGTAGTTATTAAAAAACAAACTATAATATTTAGAGGCTGAAATTTACATTGTTGTTTATAACAGACTTAATAAAAGGATATGTGATCATTTGATATCATATGATTATACCGTGTTATATTTAAATGCCACCCAGCTGACACAAGATGGGAAACATGTACCTGCATAATTTTAAAGCTAAAATGTCCAAACTTACACTAAACGCTTCCTTGTTGTTTTTAACGGCACAGGGTTCTTCTACTTTATGGTCCTCTTCTAGTGTAACACTGGATGGCTAATACAAAGGAAAACACAATATTACAAAGGGTAGCAAATCTTTAACTTTAAAATTCAAGCACTAGCAATTTGAATACACTCATTTTGTTTTCTATAATAATACATACCATTAAGGTATATAATTTTTTGAATTCATTGTTGTCATAATTAGGGTGAGTTAAGGTAAGTAGGAATGGTTATGAAAGAAATTTCACACATAGGAAAATTCAAAAATTCAAAAAGATATGAAAGATAGCATCTTATGAAAAGGTGAAGGGGGCCGGCCGAGTGGCACGATGGTTAAGAACTGGCTTGGGATGCCAGAGGGCTCCGGTTCGGATCCCACATATGAGGGCCAGTGACACTGCCCTCTACAAAAACAAAACAAAACAAACAAACAAAAAAAGGTGAAGGGATTAAGAAGTACAAGTTGGTAGTTACAAAATAGTCACAGGGATGCAAAGTACAGAGTAGGGAATATAGTAAAAAATATGGTAATAACTACGTATAGTGTCAGATGGGTACTAGACTTATTGGAGGGATCACTTCATAAGTTATATAAATATCTAACCACTATGCTGTATACCTGAAACTAATATAATAGTGAATGTCAACTGTAATTGAGAAAAAAGATAGCATCTTCTGAAGCATTAGCATACACTATGACTTTTGTGTTAAATGAATATCTTTTATGGAAATTTCAACACTTAAACTGGCAAGATAGACTAGTTTGTCTTGAAATCAGATAACCAGAAAGATTTAAAAATATATAACTCAACATTACTGGTCAATACTGATCATATAACCCTCACAGACCTCAAGCCACAAAAATTCTGAAGTGTATCTTGAATCAAAAATTTAATAATATTTAGTATGGTTTTTATTATTAAATGTTATTTTCCATTTCCTGAACCTTTAAAAATTGTGTATGATAGGTAAAAACTAAAGGTGATAAAAAATTTAATTAGAATACTCTGTTCTCTAATCTCAGAGGATAAACAGTGAAAGATACTTAGTTGAGAGACTCTACTTACCTTTTTAATTTAAAAAAAAAGCTCCAAAAAACACAATTCTGATTTAACATAAATCCATTCTATCATATTCACATAGTGAAATTTTTAAAGATTTGTTTGGGCATGCTATTGATTTTCTTTTTAAACAAGTGGAGGAGGAAAAAAGGATAGCACACGAACTGGTTGGTTTTGGATAAAAAGAACTCATCTTTTATAACCTCCAGAAATACAGATTTTTAAATTAATTTATTTATTTTTAATTAATTAATTGGGTTTTTTTTAGCTGAGCCATCCTGCCACCTGTTGGCAGCTCAGCGGCAGCTCAACTTGGGCCGGAACTCGAACTGCTGTTGCTCAGAGCTCGCACTCTTGAGCAAGGTCTTAACCAACTGAGACACTCGGCCAGCCCTCAGATTTTTTTATTTGGCCTAAAGTTAATCTTCTACCCTAAACCTCATGTGCAAGTTAGGAAATGGAAAAAAAGAAAAAGCATTTGAGTGTAGCCAGGTCTGAATAATCCCCTGAGAAAAAAGAACCACAGTCCCAAAGAAGGCCCTATGACTGCACTGGGCAGACTGTGGAGAAAGAAGCCAATTGAAGGATGGGAGAACAGACAATCTTAACAATCATTTTGGTTTTGATTCAAGAGAATCCCCATGGCCTAATAATTAGCAGTGAAAAGCATAACCAACTCATCTTAAAGTCTCTTAAGTTTGAAATACCTGGGGCCAAAGATTAAAGGAAGTCTTTTCCACATCATTTTTCTGCTGTTCCTCAAATCTGTTTACTAAATCTGATACAAATTCCTCTATTTCTTGATGAAAACGCCTGCATAAGAGGACAAAATGGTCAGAACCCAGACAGAGTAAAACACTGAACAGACTGAAGTCTTACGCCTGATTATGTCATGGTGTAACTTTTGTTATTTTGTGTTTCAGAGGTTTCTCAAAGCACTGATACTTTGTAACACTTGGGGAGCTAGTCCTTAGGAAAAGACACATTGTTGCCAAGTTAAACCGATTATGATAACCTAACACAGTGGTTGGCATAAAACCATTGGCAAATATTGGCGCTAAGAATAAATGGATTTAATTTATAAATTTTACGTATTTAACTTTTGAATACACAATATACGGAAGTGGTTCAAAATCCAAAAAAAGTGAAAAGGTTACATAATGAAAAGCCCCCTTTCCGACCCCGTCTGCTGGCCACCTATTTCTGTCACAAAGACAATCAATGCATCCAGGTTCCCACATCCTCCTCCCAGGGACTCTCTCTGCACATATAAGGAAGCGCCTATGTAAATTTTAAGCTGGAAAAAGAAAACCAAAATGCAACGCAAGAAAAACTACTGAGGTCTACTTTCTCCAGCTTTCCGGGTCAAGAACCACATTCCTTGCATATTCTTCAGTGCTCAGTTTTCAGGAGGTGCCCAAGGTGCCCGGGTGAGGCTACAGATGGGCAGCCAACTTCCTCCTTAGACTTGATGACCTGTCAGGTCCCTTTAGCGCTGACATTCTAAGGTTTCTGCAGGGGAAACACCAGGTGCAGAAGTCAGGCTGCCATGAGCTAGAGTAGACGCTGATTCTAATCTGATGGTGATAATTGTGCTGGCACCTAGCTGTGCCCAGCACCTTGCTGCTGCTGCTACGCTCACCATCAGCGGGCCCACCCCTCGGAGCCTCAGGCTCCGCTTCTGCTGAGACAGAGTAGGTGGTGGGCCTGCCACTCAGGTCCCGCTCTCTACATGTTCCCTTTATTGTCTTTACTTTGCCCAGCACATAAGATAGCAATATGATTAAGTGGCGTGGGAGAGGGCAAGCAGCTATCTGAACCGTCTATGTCCGTGTTGTGAGGAAGGGCCAGGGCACGGAATCCTGTCAGGACACTCTAGCAAGAACTGCAGGGATGTACTGTCGCACTAGACCCAAGCGTGCTGGAAGGCTCTTTGCCTAGTTTTGTTATTAAAAAAAAAAATGTGTGGGAAAGCTTTGAAGATAGGCGACAGAAAACTCAGTTACCTGATCTGGGGCTGAACTAGCTAACAGTATTTATTGTTGTGGTGATAGTGGTTTTTATCTTTTATTAGAGGCTATTTATTGGGCTCTGACAGGTGCTCATTTAGCTGCCTACGAGGTGGTTCCTGTTAGTATCCTGTTCTCCAGTGAGGGAAACGGGGATGCAGAGAGGGTCAGTGACCTGCCCGGGTTCATAAATGTAGAAAGTAGGTGTCCAGGTTCAAATTCAAGTTTACATGACTCCAATGTTCTTGCTCTTAATCAGGATTCCGTACATTTTAAGTAAAAAAATAAGGATTGTTAAAGTACAAAGGAAGACAGCACACTACTTGTAGAAGACATTGTTTCATAAACACGTGAATTCATTATATTTAGAAAAGGAAAAATGACTTACTTTGAAATAACATTGTTCATAAATAGAATCTGTAACAAAGGTCCATCTAATTTAGTGTTGTTCACCAATATTCCACTAAAACAGAAGTTAAAAACATATTCTTAGAGGAGTTAAGGTAAAGCTTGCATATGTGTATATAAACACATAACCTGGTAATTCTTAAGTACCAAAGATCATAAAATATTTTACAGATAAGATCAAGAACCACCAAGAACTCCAGTTTTCTCAAGAAAAATCTGTTTCACCACTTTTACCTACTTTAATGTTTTTACAGAGGTATCCCTTACATATTTTAAAAAATATTTCACACACACACAAAAACTATAATCTTTCCGTTTTCAACTCCAAAGTTTCCTTACCTAATAATTGTTTCTTACAAATGGAAGTGGTGGGGACAGCCACGGATGGATAAACCAACAGGTTATAGGAATAAATTTCTAAAAGAATCAGGGTGAATTTGGCTTGCAATTACATGGGAAAATGAAACACTTTATAAAATTAATGGATAGACTCTTTTCGGAAGGCAGAGCACGCTGCACTGAATATCTCAAATCCAAGACTCTAAAGTAGAGATGTAAAAAGCATACTGTTCTTGGATTTGACTTTCGCATACTGCAAAAAACAGAGCTGGAATACAGCCTGGACATCTGCATTAGATCCCGTGGGTAACCTGGGACCAGCTGACTCTTTCCTACTCACCTGCCTCACATTCCTCTATTTGTACAGCATGTGAAATACCTCACTCTATATTTGGAATTGTTGTCATCAAGTAGGGAAATAAAACTGAACTACGGCAAAGTTCAGAGACTTGTTTCAATTTGAGCAAACTTCAGTTTTTAAAAAAAACATCATGCTTTTAAAAGCCCCATGCAATGACACGGTCCTTGGTTAGAGTCCAGTTTGAACAATCAGCTATAAAGACATTCAGTCGGAGACATTTGAATATGGATGGGGCTGGGAATATTATTAAGGAAATCATGCCAATTATTAGGTGTAATAATGGTGATGTGGTTAGGCACGAAAAGCATTTTTAAAAAAAGATACACGCTAAAATATTTGGAGTAAAATATGTGTACGGGATTAGAAGAACGAAATATGTCAAAATATTGTTAAATGCAAGTGATGAAAAAATGGGTATTAATAGAACTATTCTTTCCATGTTCTTTGTTTGAAAATTTTCATTAAGTAAATAATAATTTTTATTGATAAAAATAAGAGAAACTTATGATTATATGGTTCCAAAATAAGGATTAAACCAAGAGACTTGGCATACAAATTTTATCTAAATAATTTTATTTCTTTTCCTTCTTTTGTTTTCTGTAGAATGCTTTATCAGTCTCACAATATGCAAATTTCTAAAAAAATTTTATTCCCTTTTCATGATACTAATACTTTTTATAAATTGGCAAAGCCTACGATGCTACAATCATTTGAATTCAGGTGATTATAACCCATTTTTAAATAAAAATTTGATGCTTAAATAACCAACTTTATTGGAAAACATGATTAAATAAAATATCTTTAAATATATAAAAATTATGATTTTTGAGGACTCCTATTTATATCGAATATATTTAATACCTAACTAAAAGTGCGTTTAGATCCACAGTGTGCCCACATGGTGTTCACACAGAGGAAGGTAGGGAGGGCATGGAGAAGTTATTCCAAAATACACCTAAATTCTAAAATTTTAAACTTTTAGTAACCAATGTAGTCAGTTACTCCCGCTGGTTCCAGGTACAAAAGAGTCCACGTGAAACTTTTATGGCAGCCCCAGATTTTGAAAGCTTTAAAATACCACTCCACATAAAAATTTTGTAATTTGACAAACATTTTAGATTTAGTGAGTGACCTGTTAAATTTATATTAAGAGGTAACTGCATTTAACCTTCCAAAAACCAGATGTCTGAACGCACTCCCTGTACTTTTCCCCAAATCAACTACTATCTCTTCTTCTAAAACGCTGTATCTTGCATTATTTCTATTTATGAACACACTTTTTTTCCTGGATTGTGTTTCATAAATATTTTCACCCAATACATCAGTTTAATACAGTTAGGAGAATTCAAGTTTTACCTCCACAAGCTAAAAAGCATCTGATTTCTTCCAAGTATGCTAAACAAATAAAAATGATACAAAAGTGCTTGCTTCAGCAGCACATATATTAAAAATGATACAAAAATTCTAAACGCCCTTTTTACAAAGAAATTGTGATTAAATATTAATATCAGGATAAAATCAATGGACAGCTATGGTGTAATTTCAAGATCTCATACCTTGGTCGAGTCAGAATGTTCAATTTTCTTCTAAGTTCTTGATGTTATTACTTGTTAAGGAATATAAACCCTCATTAAACATAATCATGAAGATCATAAAATCTGACTACTGACTTTCACTTCAACTACTAACTGTGACACCAAAAGAGTGTCAGAATGTTATAAGCGTTAAAAGACACACAAATATTTTGAAGATGACACATTTACTGAGCTCCTGTTTTGTTGTAGGGCTAGGCATTTACACCTAAAAATTAAAATAGAGTTGTCATCTCTTCCAACACAGACATTTCTAAGATACGGTCATGGAGTTCAAAAGAGACTAATAGACTGAACCGAAACCATTATTCAAATAACAGTGTCCCAACAAAAGTTAAACAGTCATTCATTTAAGACATTCTTCAAAGCCAATGTATGATCAAGTATAACGAACTGTTCATGCCTGAAGACTCTAGGATGGAATCTATGAATGGTCACTGCACCATCTCTTCAACTTTTCTGTATTTGAAACTTTTCATAATATAGGGGGAAAAGGCAGCATGAAAAAAAAAATCAGACTCTGCAAACCTCAAAAAGGCGATTTACCAACCGCTTTCTTTCAGGGGCGGGGGGGGGTTTTTTACAAATTTTAAAAGGAAGACTTATCCGAACCAAAAGTACCTGTATACATAGTTAAAAGGCTGTAATCATGTAACTAAAGCCACATGGAAACTTACCTGGCACTTTCCCTAAAGCTTTGCAATGCACCTTGCCCTCGGAAGCTGTTTCTTAGTGGAAGGGCTTTAAAATGAATTCCCAATCTTAAGTAATTATCCATTTCTCTCGGCATCCTTCGAATCCTTAAGACCCCCCAACTCTACAACCCAGGAACCCCCGCTTTTGCCTAGCCATAGAAACAGATCTACGCCAGTCTAGGTACCCGGTATCTCCTAATACTGTACACAACTTGCGCAGGGCTGTATCAACTTCAGCTTGGCTGCAAAGAATGAAATCGATGGCTCCAAAAAAAAGGGGGAGAGAAGTGGTAACCAGTCTACAATCTGACAGAAGAAACAGCCTGACAGAACCCTAAATACCCTCCCCAGGCTGGGTGGCGGGAGGAGGGAACCTCGTCCAGGATACGGATCCCAGAAGCGGAGAGGTTTGCGCTGAGGCCCCGGGGGGGCAGCTTACGTAATCCGAACCCCAAAATTCTCAGCCCGCCTCTGGGGCGAGAGGAATTACTTCGAATTCGGGCCCTCGTGGAATTCCCGCCAGCGCCCTACCGGGCACGGCACCCACCACACGCCCGGGTGACAGGGCCCAGCGGGCGGGAAGGATATTCTCGGCGCGGAGCTGCTCGATGGTTTCCTCGCACTGCCGAAGCCGCTCCCGCAGCTCCGCGTCGCCAACCCCATTCTCGTCCTCCTCGTCGTCGTCGTCGTCCTTGAAGCGGGTGTGAACGGGCTTCGGAAGCGACTCCTCTGGGTGGTCAAACGCCTCGAACAGCTTTAAGTCGCCGAAATCCACCTCCGCCGCCATTTTGGGCTCCAGGAAAGATTCGAGATGGGGCGGAGCTGGCCACCCGGCCGGGGGCGAAGGTTTTAAGTTCGCACGGCTCTCTAGGGCGCTGAGCCACCCAGTAGGGGTTTTTTCCCAAACATAGGCCGCGGAAGCTGCACAAGGGGCGGGCCAGTCCCAAGAGACTACAACTCCCAGAATGCAAGCGGCGTCTCCCATACCCATTTCCGAGACTGCTCGGAAGCATAGCATGCTGGGATATATGGTTCCTCAGCAACTGTTAACTCATTGTTTGTATTGCGTACTGGGATTGGTCCTTTTTAAATGTGAAGGAAGCTCGAGTAGATCAGAATGTGTTAAAACAATATGGATTGTCCGTGTTATGCATCAAAGGCTGAAAAATCAGAGCACGACGCACGGTTCTTCGCAGATTCTGGTGTGCGTGCTTAACAGCAACAAGAGAATTAGGAACTCCGGTTTTGCCACAAGCTACCTTTGTGATCCTGGACAAGCTACTTCAGTTTATTGGGTTTCACTTTTTCATGAAAAACTATATTAAACTATTTTAAATTTGTCTGTTGCAACTTTCGGTGGCTTCTCGTTCAATCGCTCATTCATTCAATATTTATCACGTTCGATGTCCCAGGCACTGTTCCTAGGATCCGAGGGTGTAAGAGCGAGCAAAGTAGAGAAGTTCCTGCTCTCTTGGAGCCTTCAGTCTAACAAAAATAAACAAACAAAAATAACCATAAATATTCCTGCTCTTAGGTCGAGGGGGATGTTGATAGGTATTCATATTGAGAAATATGTGAAATAAAAGCACAGGAAGTTGTGGATATATAACAAATTGGACATTATCTGTGGGAGTCAGTGAACTGAGGAATTGAGGTTTGAATGGAAATATGAAGTGTTAGGAGGACAAGGTTGGTGGTGAGACTATGCAGGATGAAATTGAGAGCAGCCTAGGCTGAAGACTCCACATGTGGAATGAAAAGGCAGAGGAGCAAGAGGAGGCTCGAACATTAGGCCAGTACTCACAGACCACATTAGGGATCCTCTCTCCATCCCCAGTAACGACATCATTTCAACATTTTAAACAGATGGTGTGTGACTCACCAATTTTCATTTTGGTTAAGATGGCGGACCATTTATCAAAGGATTGCACAGTAAAAAAAGAATTGGAAATGGAGCAAAAGCAAAATTCTGAGTCTTAACAAATGTTAGCTTGGATTAGGGTAGTGGCAATAGTAATGGAGAACAGATATTTAGAAGCAGGTATTTAAAAGATATAATGAAAGCAACAGAGCTAATTAGGGTTGGATATAGGCAATGAGTGAAAAGGGGGTGTGAATATTTCTTAGAAGTCTGACTTAAGAAACTTGTTTGAATAAATGATCATTTGAGATAGAGAACAATGGATACGGCTCAGGTTTGGGAGCAAAGAGGAAGTTCCATTTTGGTTATGTAGTACCTTGAGGCAACTTTATCCTTATAAGCAATAGAGAAGTAAAGACTGGTAGAAGAAAATTTTGAAACATTTGGTTAGACATCATTCGTATACTAAAGGTTAACATTTGCCCGGTCCAAGTTTTTATGGAAAGTAATGACCATGTAAGAGGATGAGATTGCATAAGGAATATAGAGAAGTCTAGGACTGGGTCTGGAGAAACCAAAAGGATGGGACTGAGAAGGGTGAGAGAATTACAGAAATTGAATGGCCAGCGTGGGAGAACTAGGAATGGGTCCCATAGAAATTACATTTAAGTATATAATTTAATCATCTTTGGCCTATTAAACTGATTAACTTACAATGATATATAAAATTTGTTTCCTCCTCCTTCCAACCTACTTAATAAGTGGTATTTAAATGGTCTAAGCTAGGTGGACTATAAACCCATCCAAGTTGGAACCTCATCTGAATTTGCCTTCAACACCTGTACGTAACTACCAAATCCTATTCTACCTTCCAAGTTGCCCTCAAAGCCAGTTTCTCTCACATTGTCTGTCCATCTTGCCTTAAATATCAGTGTGCTCTAGTTTTATTGCTCTGCCTGCCTCACCATTGTCTTGTATCTCCTGGACAGCAACTATGTTCCTGTTGCTTACAGGGTAAATAAAGCCTGAAATATCCATCATGGAGTACAAGGCTTTGAAATTAAAAGCACATTAACAGCCAGAAAATAGATAGCAAAAAGTTTTAAGCAAATAAAAAACTATGGAGTATGTTTCCCCTTATAAACTTAGTTCCAGTCAAAAGTTAACTGGCACCTTCCCCCGTCCCCCACTGCAATAATTGCTTCAAGTTTAATTATGCAACTTACAATTACCTCTGTCTCCCTCTAGCTCTGCACTGTCCATGGTAGCCGCTGACTACATGTGGTTAGCCCCCAACTGCGATGTGTTAAAATATAAAATACATACTGGATTTAAAATGTAAGTATAAAAATAAGAATGCAAAATCTCAAATAAAAATACTGATTATCTTAATTATTTTGGATATTTACTAAGTAAATTAGTTTCATGTTTAAACTTGGCTACTAAATTGCTGCTGTAGATGAGTGCAGGATGGACCATGTCATTCATGTATGGCCAGCTCCTAAAATATTGTAGAAAAAGAGAAAGCAGTTAACATGTACTTTCGTATCTGCTCTCCCTTACAAATCCATGCAAATTTTTAATGAAATTGGTTTGAGAAGGTATAGCTAAACTGAAAAATATGAATTTGACGCTAAAATGAAAAATCATGGTGTAATTTCCCCATAAACTTGATTTTGTCACTGAAGCATACCATTTCTCCAAAGAATTATTGTACTCTGGGAAAACTAATTTAAACATTTACCAAAATACACTAAAACTCTTTAATATTTTCCTATACCACAAAACATGCCTAACAAGCAAGTTAGCCAGTCTTAATAACTCGGGTATTTAAAGGTTTAAGTCTCACCGCTATTGTCCTTCTGGGTTATATTTTGCTACATTGTGGTGTTTTCCAAAGGAATTTTTTAGGGAAAGCTAAAAATTGACTCTTGTAATGAAAGCAAATGAATTACAAGTTCTGTAGTTCCCTCCCCCGCCACCAAATTTATGACCTAGTCAATTTAGTGACAAAGCAGTTTTCTAATATTTTAGTTTATGCTAGAGAAGACTTCAAAGGGATAATGAGCAAAGGGCATACAAAGAACTTGTTATAAGGCACTTTATTAAAATAAAAGTGCTTACATCCCCCCTTTAATGTATTAATCTGTTTCCTGAATAACATACGGAATAGTTAACAAATACTGTACACCAATTCTGTCCCTTATAATAGTAGGAAAACAGTATTGTTTTAATAAATTTGTTTATGCCTCCCAACTTCCTTTTACATTTTTGCGCACCACGGTATTGCCAATAGTGGTTAACTTTTTTTTAAAAAGGAATTTTTAGCCAGTGTTTTCTAAACGTAATTGCAAATGCTACAGAAACCATAAAACAAATTCAAATAAGAATTCCAGGTAACTTAAATTAACACCAGTTTTGAGAAAACCATTTTTATTATCATCACCACCCAGCTTATTTTGTGCTGGATTATGTACCAAATGGCCAGATCTTCTAAAGAACATCTACATAACATTTCATGTTTCAAGAGATGAAAATAACTGTACAAGGTTAAGTACAAAAGTACACAAGACAGCGGACACGAAAAACTCCATGTATGAGATTTTATCCCACCTGCAGCTTTTACATATTTGAAAAGTAGAGTTCATGAACTAAAAAATATTGTCCTTCTATAATCCTGTCAAGTTTAATGGAAGTGGGTTTAACCTGATTACAACACTAACACCAGTATCACTGATCTGATATTTACAAAAAATCGTATTTTTTCAATAAATTAAAGTCAATGCAACACCCATGCAAGCTAGAATGCTAGCTGTTTGGTGAACAAGGACCTGATCAGAACCAGAAGTCCATAAAGTCCCAAACATGAAGTGTGATCTTTTTCAAACTGCATCCATTCCTCGCATTGATGACGTGAAACCCAATCCCATTCCTCTTTGTGTGTGGGTTTGTGATCTTGCCATTTCATATTGAGCATCGAGATTTCTAAATACTTCTTCCTGTTGCTTCAAAGTCTTGTAACTTTCTTCATCAACTGAGCTACATCCAGCTTCATCTTCACTCTAAATATCAGAAAATATATTATTAAAATTAATTCAAATGGAAATAAAAAGTGCTTCTTTCATTTGACAGTACTGGTAAATCCCATTTTTAGGATACATACTTGACCTCAATTACTTGCATTCATTCATTCAACACCTATGGAGTACATGGCAATGTTCTTTCTAGGTGGTGGGATATAGCAGGATGTTTAACAAAAATCAATTTCATTTTAGTGGGCATGAGGAAGAACTTGAACTCGCCAGCTCAGTGCAGCTAAGTGTAAGCCATAATCTCTCTTCTATGAAAAACCAACTCCCTTAGTAATAACCATGTCTGAGTACTGGGATACGTTTCCAGGTTGTTGTATGAAATCTAACACTGTATCTGCAGTACACTTTACTCAGCAAAAGTTCAACTTTCTACATTTTTAAAAAAGCTTCCTTGAAACTAAAAATCAAGAAGGTCCTACTCCACCAAGTAGTTAACCTTAAATGAGCAGTATTTTTTTAAAGCAAATTAATTGCTTTTTACAATTTCATTTTAATTTACGAAGAGAAGCTTATGATCTCAAACACTGTTCACCTAAGGTATAAATACACAGTAAGAATAAAAAAACCCTGTTAATTTAAATCAAATAATTTGTATTGCCAGATAGAGATAACAATGTATTATTTTAGTTAATTCTGTGACATTAATGTGAACATAAAAAAGCACCAGAAAAGTATCCAGGCTGAAACATCACCAAAATAACTTGGAAGTCAAGAATCAATGTTACTCTGAAAATACAACTTAGTATGAGTTTTAATACGAAGTGTATATATACTCACCTTAATACCCATTAATTTCCTAAATTTGACATTTTGGTCCTTGTTTCCAAAATTCAATTTTTCCCATATTTCAGCAGACTGGGATTTGTCCTGTTAAAAGTAAGACACAGTGAACTTTTAGAATACATAAAATTTAAGTCTTTCATTGGGGTATTACATCTCGCCATAACATAGTGTAAAAGAAACTAGCATTTATGGCATTCTATCCATGTAGTTTATAATTATACTAAGATTTCTATTATAGAGTAATGAAGCAAAGATATATTCACTTCATAATGTATCTTATGAAAAAAACCTAAGCTCAGGAGTCTCCTTCTCCTTAATAAATACACAGTATTACCGGTTTTCTTTGAAAGCCACACTTACATCATGCATTTTTTTCAGCGTTTAATAATTGTGGCAAGTTAAACTATCCCAGCCACATTCTCAGATAAACCCAAACGAATCTTTTCTAATTCCAATTTGTTT